CGCCCACAAGTTAGAGGGTTTTTTGGGTTCACTTTGTAGAGGTTTCAGCCATGGTCGGCCAGCGCCATGGCAGAGAGGCATCACAGAAGAGGATCAGTTCATGGCTTGTCAGCAGGAAGTAGAGAAGGAGATCATGGGAGGGGGAGAGAGGTGACCTTTCCGGGCCACGCCCACAGGAACCACCTGCTCCGCCAGGCTCCACCTGCCAGCATCAGACACAGCCATACAGGCATCAGTAATGACTGTTACAGACCCATGATCTAGTCACCTCCCCAGAGCCCCACCTCTGAGCACATGAGGCTTGGGATGTCTGGATGTAAATCATATAACCATAACAGTAGGTTTGGGCCGGGCATGGTAGCACACACCTGTAATCCCAGCACTTGGGAGGCTGAGGCAGGAGGATCGTTGCAAGTTCAACACCAGCCTGGGCTACAAAGTGAGCTCAAGGCCAGCCTGAACTGCATAGCGAGACCCTGTCTCAAAAAGACGAAAAAAAAAAGTACATTTGGGACTTCCCCCCCCTTTTGTACTAGAGGTTCAACCCAGGGCCTTTGCACTGAGTTCCCATCTCCAGCCTGCCTTGTTTTTTTTTTGTTTTGAGACAGTATCTTGCTAAATTGACCAGATAGGTCTCAAATTTGTGATCCTCCTGACTCAGCCTCCCGAATGCTAGGATTATGGGCATGTGCTACCGTGCTGGGCTGCATTTGGCTTTTGTGCATGCCCTCCTTCTTCCCTTCCCACCTCGCTTGGTTCCCTGTCAGATAGTGAGGCATTGTGTTCCCACCCTGAAGCCTCCCCAGCCAGGCCAGTCACCGGTCTTCCCTGTGCCACAGCAGTCTGTAGACATCCTCTGTTTACAGAACACCTTGACTCATTTCCCTCCCGCCCTGAACTGTGAACTCTGTAAGCAGAGGCAGTTTGTCTTAGTCGTCTTCATTTCCTTCTGGAACGCCAGCACACTGTCAAGGCACCCTCGCAGCCAGCGTGAAATGACTGTGATGCACGCGGCTGACTGAAGCACCTCCACGGCAAGACCAGGCGCTTAGAGGCCAGCCAGCCTGCCAGGGGCAGCTTCTCCCTCACACCCAGGTTCATCCTGCGTGGCCTGACTGCCAGCTGTGAGGTGGCATGTTGGGCACAGGGGCAGCGCACTGTCCCCATCCTCCTAGAGCTGCCAGGTTTCCCAGAAGATGACTGACTCAGCCTTTGGGGTCCTTTCAGGCCCTTTGACCTGTGCTTTCTCCTTAGCGCTCCTGGAAGGGTTAGAGTGCAGAGGCCAGCTTGGTTCCTCCCCTTGCTCCACATGGCAGAAGGTGGTGGGCGGCGGCGGCCTTGAGGTCAGATCTAGACACTGTTCTGCTGGGCGTGTCATTTACTGTCTCCAAGCCCTCAAAGAGGAGCGCTTCCTGTGGGTGGGATGCTTATACTTCATAGGGTAGTTGTGAGAATGGGAAAAGACCCAACGTACGTGCACACACAGTGCTGAGCATGAGGTAGGTACCTAATAACGTTTCGCCCTCTTTCCTTGCCTTCAAAATAGAAACACTTGCTCATGTGAAAGAATATAGGACAGAAGTGGGGCTATAGCACAGTGGTAGGGTGCAGGGTTAGTGTGCAGGAGGCCCTGGGTTCAGTTCCAAGTACCATTAAAAAACCATTCAGATAGGTGTTACTGAAACATTATAGGCCTTGTCTCTCCCTTTTTAAAAAATTTTTGGTTGAGACAGGGTCTCACTCTGTATTCTGGGTTGGCCTTAAACTAAGTAGTCCTCCTCCCTCAGCTTTGCAAATTCTGGGGTTACGGGCATCCACCACCATGCCCAGCATCATTTTTCAATGATCAGTATATTTCATCATGAATTGAAGTGAACCTGTAATTTCAGTTACTCAGAAGGCTGAGGCAGGAGGATCTTTGCAAGTTCGAGACCAGCCTGTGAGCTCAAGGCCAGTCTGAACTGTGAGGCGCCCCATCTCAAAAAGACAAAAAAAAAAAAAGAAAGTTTGAGGCCAGCCTGAGCAACTTTGTGAGACCTTTCTCAAAATTTAAAATTTTTAAAAAGAATTGAAATGACTCTACTTTTCTCAGATTTATTAAAACTGGCAAAAACTTCTGACATTAAAAAAAAAAATTTTTTTTCACGATAGTAGGTATGGAGCCACAGGGCCTTGTACATGGTAGGAAAGTGCTCTAGCACTGAACTACAGCCCCCAACCCCCTGAAATAAAAACAGTTAGGTCACCCTAACTGTGTGTGATAACATACCTCTTTTTCTATGTTTGGTATGTTAAACACCCCAGTGCTCAGTTACTCAGAATGTCCCCTCTCTGTCCTGCCCTGAGTGGGGCAAGTCCGTGACTGGCAGCTTTGGCCTTGCCCACCTCGAAGCGGGCACACAGGGTGCACCTCAGTTCTAGGTTCCTCCCTGCACTGTCCTTTCTTGTGTTACATCGACTTGACTGTCATTCTTTTTTTTTTAATAGGACCTGCTGCAGCTACAGTATGAAGGCGTTGCAGTCATGAAGCTGTTTGACAGAGCTAAAGTAAATGTCAACCTCTTGATCTTCCTGCTCAACAAAAAGTTCTACGGGAAGTAATTGATCATGTGCTGCCAGCCCAGAAGGATGGAGGAAGAACCCCTTAAAGGCCCTTCTGGGATCTCTCGCAGGAAGCCAACACCAGCCCCTGACGATGCCTCGGTCTGATGCCCCCTGACGCCCTGTTTTAACTCCCCTCACTCTGGCAGGACATTTGCCGCCCTCTTTTTCACAGTGAAATTGTGTTTTGGGCTTAGTCGACCTCCTGGTGCCTTCATTTTTCTCATACTTAAGGAAGAGTGGAAACCCCACCAAAATCCTCTGTGGCTGAAGCCTTTGAAGCAGTTTTGCTGGCTTGTAAGCTTTGGTGTTTGTTTGCTCAGCAACAACGACAGTGGGGTGCAAATTCTTGTCACCAGAAGGGGCGCTCTTAGCAGCAGTAGCGCACATGCACCCAGGATGCACAATTAAAATGTTGGTTTAGTCGCAGTTACTCAGCAGTTGTCCTCTGGAAGTGAAGCTCCTTTATATTTCTGTCGCATCAGTAAAATCAGCGGATAGAGCAGGTGGTTGATTCTCTCCGTTCTGTTTTACTTTGTGGGAAGGAGCTAATACAAGTCACTGTACTTCTCTATTGAAACAAAGCAGTTTTTGGGGGGGAGAAGGTAGTATTTTTTTAATTTCACCAGCAGATTTGGGCCATGCTGTTAGTGTAACACCCCCAGCAGTGCACAGGAGCGGCCCAGTGGCCTCCTGAGCTCGTTTGGTGGATGGGAACGGCTGGGCCCCTACCTCTGGAGACTGACTCTCTTCAGGGACACGCTGCTGCAGAGCACGGGGTGATCCCGAGGGTAGAATAGAACGGTTCTCAAGTCTGTCCTGTATCTTCAGATTGCCTTACAAAAGCGTAGATTTATTTCTTAAAGATTTATGTAATGCTTCAAAAGCTTTTAGGATATTCTGAGAAAAGGGGTTTAAGAAATTGATTTATCTGTATATCTGAACTCTTGAACTTTCTTACTGCTGAAACACTAGGCTCTATCTGCTGCATTGCAGAGAAAATCCTGCCTTAAATAGCTAGAACAAAACCAGCCAACCCATGTTACACATGACATTAAAATAGAAATTTCTTTCTTTTTTCTTGCTGCCCACATTTGTGCCTTTATTTTGTAAACCTCAATTTTCTAGGCTTCGTCAAAGACAGTTCAGTTGTAAATGTCTTGGATAAAGTAGTAAACTTCAAAAAAAAAATAGCTGTTTATCCAGGAAGGTAGATTGAAATCATGCTACTGAGCCTCCATTCTCTCTGATGTTCTGGTTCAGTATTCTTTTATCATAAAACTTAAAAATCTAGCATTTTTAAATGTACTGATACATATTTAAGGCCAATAAACTTTTAATTAGTAATAAACCACGTGGTGCGTCCCTGTTACAAATGCAAGTCTTGGAAAAGGGGTTTTCCCCTGAATGTCCCTGTGCATGGGTGCACTCCCAGGGAGGAGTCCATGGCACTACCTTGACCTTGATTTGTTGTGTTTTGGAAAATAATTCTTTTAGTAAACATTTCCCCCAGATTAAAAGAAGATGTTACCACAGCCAGCGTCTAACTCAAACACCAGGACTAACCAAAGTATATAAACCCTTTTCCTCAAGAGAGGACACACACCCCAAATTCTTGTCCCCAAAGCCACCTCCACCTGAGTTGGTCACAAGCAAAGTTTACAACTCCTTTAATAAAATAGGATATTTGTTATTTGTTAGAATTATTCTTCCCTGAACACAATTTCTAATGCAAAATAGTCTCAAGAGAACGTTAAAAATTTTTATGACAACCCTATAAAATTAGAGAGTGCTCCAACAGACACTGAAGCCTGCTACACGGTTGTCTGTCAGCTGTCCCGTTCTGTCCCATCCTCTCCTCTGACCTTCTGGAACCAGCCATCCTGACATTTACCATGAACTTACTTCCTCCCAAGGATTCAGCTGTCGGTCAGGTTGTTCCTACACACAGTTGCCTTTGTATCTCTGGATGAAATAAAAGGTCATTTGTTCCTGTTTGTGTTTTTCTGTTTGTTAGCAGTATTCTCTAAATAGTGTTGATGAGTGAGATTTAATAATTAAAAACCAGAGCAGAAAGTAACCCCTATAGGCTTTTAAAGGAACAACCAACCACATCTGCTATCAAATCACAGAATATTTCATTGATCTTTATGTATTTGGATTTTTCTTTTTTGAGACAAGGTCTTATGTAGCCCAGGTTGGCCTCAACTTGCTGTGATCCTCCTGCCTCGGCCTCCCGAGTGCTGGGCTGATAGGCGTACCCCACCACGCCCGGCTCTTAAATGACCTTTAATGTGCCAGTTTAGCCTTTTATAATTTATTACGATTAAAGCCGCCTTGAGGTAGAAAGGGAGGGGCCGAGCGCTGCCGCTTAGTTCTGATTGGCTGACGCCTGGGAGTTCAACATGGCGGCTGCGTTAGACTCCAGCGCAGAGGCCGCTCCGAGGGCTGCTGTCAGGTGCGCGTCCCCAGAAAAGAGGCGGGGAAGGCAGACGCAACAGAAGAGCCTCAAGGGCAAGAAAAGGACTAGGTGGCCTCCCCAGAGGGCAGCCTGACGTGAAGATAAGGACGGGAGGACTTCCCGGTGCGTGCGCTCGGGCTGCCGACGAGGCTTCGGCGCGGGGCGGGCGGGGTTGTGGGGGAACCGGCGGCTGCGGGCGCTTTGCCTGGGAGCCGTAAGGTGTGCGAGCCGAGCCGCAGTCCGGAGTCAGGAGAAGCGCACAGAGCAAGACGCTGTGGTCACAGGTTTTGCCCATTTAACTCTGAAAATAGCCGGGCATGTTGGCGCACGCCTGTAATCCCAGCACTCGGGAGGCTGAGGCAGGAGGATCGTTGCGAGTTCGAGACCAGCCTGGGCTACAAAGTGAGCTCAAGGCCAGCCTGAACTGCGTAGGGAGACCCTGTGTCAAAAAGACAAAGACAAACAAACAACAACAAAAAAAAAAAACTCTGAAAATAACTTGAGAAAGCTTTTATATTCCTCCACACGATTTGGCAAGTTGATTTCTTTTGGCACGGGGATTGAACCCAGGGCCTTCACACAGAGCTACATTCCCAGCCCTTTTTTAGTTTTTATTTTGAGGCAAGGACTCACTGAGTTGTCCAGGCTGGGCTCAAATTTCCAGTCTTCCTGCCTCAGCCTTCTAGAGTGCTGGGATTAAAAGGTGTGGGCTACCACACCCAGTTGGACAACTTTTATTATCCAGTCATTAGATCATCTACCTTCCCAGGACTTGGGAAGGGGACAAGGGCTTTACCATGACTCTTTAAGTGACTGTTAATTATATTCATAACCCTTGGATTTTTTTTTTTAGCAGGTATTGGGACTCGAACTCAGGTAACCCCTTGATTTAGGGATAGTTTGTTTAATTCAGTACACTGCAGATGCCTTGGGAAGAGAAACAATAATCCTTTTGCACTGTAAGTTTTTTTAAGTTATGAAAAACCAGTGACACACAGAGGGAACAGTACAGCAAGCTCCCACGTGGCTACCAGCCAGTGCCAGCAATTGTCCACACAGGGTCAAACCTGTTTCACTTTCCCTCTGCCCACTCCTGCCTGAGTTATTCTGAGCTGCATCTCCAGCCTTTTTTTTTTTTGGAGACAGGGTCTCATCACTAAGTCACTAAATTGGCCAGGATGGGCTCGAACTTTGGATCCTCTTGCCTCAGCCTCCAAGAGTACTAGGATAACAGGTGTGCACCTAGCTTCTTCCAATTTATTTGATATCGATCCTATAGAATCACATTCTGGGTGTCTTATTTATATTTACTTGGCTTTTTTGAGTCAGGGTCTTACTATGTAGTTCAGGCTGGTCTTGAACTCACTATGGAACCCCAGGCTGGCCTCAAACTTGTGGCAATCCTCCTGCCTCAGCCTACTGAATACTGGGATTACAGATGTGCCTGGCTCGTATTAAATTCTTATATATCAGATTCAGTTTCAATCTTTTGGCAGGAATATTTCATAATTCCCCTCACAGCACTTCAGGCACTTGCTTATCTTTGTGTAAAGACTGACTGGATTCAGATGTTGCCAGCTTGACCTGTTCCTTTTAAAGCTTCCTTCCTATCAGGGCCAGGGATGCAGCCCAGGGGTAAAACACCTGCCTAACACGAAAAAAAGTAAAAAAATTCCCATCAGCCGTCATCACATATCACACCGATTCAGCAGCTACTGGCTGATGACTGTCTAGACTTTATTCCATTAATGGTTGCAAAATGATGATATCAATTCTCCTTCAGAAATTTTTAAAAACCCTTTGCTCTGACCACCTATTTTGTTACCTTATAGAACATTCATCCTGAAAAAGATAGTGCATGCTTGATTCTCTTTACCACTTTTCAGAATGAGCTGGTTCCCTAATAGCTGCTAAAGGTGACCCATGAGATAGATTGTTCTGGTTGACTTGGGGTTTTTTTGTTTTTGCTTTAACTTGTTTCTTTTGCGGTACTGAGGACTGAACCCAGGACCTTCACCATAAGCTACATCCCCAGCCCTTTTTTAACTCTGACACGGGGTCTCACCAAATTGCTGAATTGCCCAGGTTTAGCCTGAACTTGCAATCCTCCTGCCTCAGCCTCCCAGAGTGTAGGGATTACAAGTGCGCACCACCACATCAGGCAAAGTTTTGGTTTTTGAAAATCATTCTGGCCTCTTGCACTTTTAATATTTGATAGCTTTTAATCTACTGTGTATTTTTTGGTGCCCCAATTGTTCCCTTTTTGGCCAGCAGAGTGGTGACTAGTGAGTCCTTTCAGCCTGACCTCCCCTGTCTTAGTCTCCTTCCTTTTATGTACAAGATGTTCAGGACTCATGGTTATATTTCAGCCCAGAGCTGTGCTCAGTCATTTCTCTAGGAGCTGTTCTGTTTTCAGGGCATAGTGGTGTTTAGGGGTGCACTTGGGTGCCAGGGGTGTTCTTGATAATTAGGATGGTCATTGTCTCTAAGCTTCTTCCATGAAAGGTGGGCTGGGACACTTTCTTAGTCCATAACCAAATAATTTTTATTTTTGAGACAAGGTCTCACTGTATAGTCCAGGCTGGCCTCAAACTCAGCGATCCTCCTGCTTCAGCCTCCCAAGTGCTGGGATTATAGGTGTGCGCCACCATGCCCAGGCAAAACAATTTTTATATAGCATATCTTAATACACGCAGCTTATTGAAAGGAAAAAAATGCCTCAATTCATAGCATTTGCCAGTTCTGTGGATTAAGTACTTGCTAGGGGCAGACGGCAAACTGCTAATTTGATCACTTATGGCGAGCAGGGGAGGGTGCTGGTAATCAGTCTCCGGAGTATAAATAAAGAGCAAAATAAAAGATATGCAGATAACAGGAAACAGGGAGACATCTTTCACAGAAGGGAAGGGGACTGGGGCTGGGGATTTAGCTCAGCGGCAAAAGTGCCTGCCTGGCAAGCGCAAGGTCGTGAGTTCAGTTCCCGGTACTGGAGAAAAACTAAAAAAAGAAAAAAAAGAAGGGAAGGGGACCGAGCGATGGAGGGCAGGGGAGGAAGGGGATGAGAAAGGAATTAAGATGTGTAGGAGCACCGACTCCCCAGCATGAGCGTAATCATTTCGTACCGCAAGCATGGACTGACAAAAATAAAAACGAATCAGCGCTCCAGGGATGCGGAGGAGCAACTGACAAATTCAGAGAGCAAGAAAGGGCCACCCTCTGGGACGTTAGCAAAGCGCAAGGGCGGAGGGTGTGGCGGGCGTCTGGGGTGGGCTGGCCGCTATTCTGTCCCCTCCCTCACCTTCCTCTTGCCCTGAGAAGCTGTGCCACAACCACACACAGACAGGCCCGCGCTGTCCCCCGCAGCTTCTGCTCGGGTCTGGCCAGCGCGGCACTGCCAGGAGACCAGAGCAGGCCGGCTCTGCCGGGTCACTGAGAATTGGCGGCAGCTCCCTCCCAAGAGTCTCCGCGCAGCAGGCAGTCCCTCCCCAGGGCCCTCAGGCCCAGAGCGCTAAGCACCCTATAACTAGCCCCAAGGGTACCGTGTTCCCCCAGTCCTGGCCTCTTAATTAACTTCTCCTTAAATTACTCAGTTTGAGTGGCCACCTGTCCCCTGCTGGGACCCTGGCTGATACTCAAGTGGACCAATTAAGGCCTCAATTAGTGAGAGATTTGGTGGCCTGAATTGAGTTGTTTGGCTGGAAAGAGCAGCTCCCATCTGCTTCTGCCTGAGAACTTGCTAGAAATTCTCAGCCCAAGTGGTGGTGCTTGCCTGGCCTGTCATCCCCAGCATTGTGAGAGGCCGAGGCAGGAGGATTGCTTGTTTAAGATCAGCCGAGGGATTTAGCAAGAGCCTGTCTCAAAATTTTAAATAAATAAATAAATAGGCCGGCCTGAAGGCTCTGCATTCCATTCTCAGTGCCAAGAAAGAAAGGAAAGAAAGAAAGAAAAAAAGAAAGAAAGAAAGCTTTCAGCCCTGTGGCAGACTTGCTGAATCAGGGTTCAGAAGTGGGGCTCAGCAATCTGTTTTAACAAGCTCTCCAGTGCCTCTGATGAAACATAAACTATGAGTACCACAGACTAACACAAGAGAACATTGATTTTTTTTTTTTTTTTTTTAAGGTGGATACAGCTGCCTATATCCAGGTGTGGCTGTGAGGCTGTTCTGTTCTTTTTTTTTTTTTTTTTTTAAGGTGGATACAGCTGCCTATATCCAGGTGTGGCTGTGAGGCTGTTCTGTTCAGTGGGGTAGAGGAAGGCTCACATGGTCATTTCTGGGAACTTGATGAGAGACAGAACAAATTAGGCATGGTGCGTGGAACCCCAGCTACTCAAGAGGCTGAGGCAGGAATATTGAACGTTGAAGGTCAACCTAGGCGCCCCGCTTCAAAATTTGAAAAATAAAATGGGATCAGGGGTATAGCTCCATGCTCCCTGGGTATAATCCAGAGAGAGAGAGAGAGAGAGAGAGAGAAAGAGAGGAATGGGGAGGGAGGACACAAGAACATTTTCCCCTTCTTGTCATCTTCTATCTTGTTGCTGGCTTGATTTTTTTTTTTTTTTTTTTTTTTTTGTCTTTTGATGCCAGAGGTGGCACCCAGGGCTTCGTGCATGCCAAGCACAGGCTGTAGGACAGAGCCACACCACTCACCCTAGTTTGTCTCTCAGAACACAGATGTCACCATCTGGCACAATGAAGTCCAAGCCATGGGTGGCAAAGCAGTAAGCACTTAACTCTCACATATGACAGAAATTAACTGTCACCATTTTTGTTGTGGTTTTGGTTTGGTTTGAGACAAGGTCTTGGTATATAGTTGAGACTGGCCTTGAAATCACTATGTAGCCGAGGCTGGTCTTGAACTTGCAGCACAGCGATCCTCTTGTCTCAGCCTCCCAAGTGCTAGGATTACAGTTGTGTGCCACCACACGAGGTTGTTATCATTTTTAAGGTCATTTCATGGAGCGTGTGCTGATACACCCAGGCCTAATCCTAGTTGATATAGGTCTAGATTGAAAAATACTGTGAGTTCTTTTTTTTTTTTTTTCTGGTACTGGGGATTGAACTCACAACCTTGTGCTTGCCAGGCAGGAGCTGTGAGCTAAATCCCCAGCCCCTTGAGTTCTAAATAACATAAAATCCTTACCTTGACAGACAGTAACAAAACTGCAAAGTAACCAAGGAGAAGAAACAGATTATCCACAAAGTAACAAGATTAAAAAGCAACGTTGGCCCACTGTTTGTTTTATTGAAGTATATCTGCCTATTTATGTGATGCCTCTGGCTGTGTTAATGCCACAAATGCAGAAGAAAATTGGTTACAAGGAGACAAGCCCGCCCATAAGCCTGCAAAACCCAAGTCATTTACTCTCTCACCTGTTACCGGAAAAATATTTGCCAGCCCCTGACTTAGAGGATTCATCTGAGTGTGAATTCCCAGGGCTATCTGTCTGTTTAGGTGGTTCAACAAAGAACTTACAGGTTTTTGTGTTTTGGCATTTTTTTTGTGATTTTGTTTTGTTTTATTCTGAGATGGGATCTTGCCGTGTTTGCCCAGTAAACTCTTGGGCTCAGGTGATCCTCCTGCCTCAGCCTCCTGCATAGCTGGGACTATAGTCACACGCCTCAAATATCCTGCTTTCAGGATTTCAATCCAGCCCTCTGCTAAGGCAGCCACAGTTGCTCTTGGGAACCACCCCAGGAGCAGTGTTTTGGGAAGTGATTTTACCACTTGGCAGTCCCAGCCAAGGAACTGGGTCCTAAAACTCACTGTGTGTCTCTCTTGTGCAACCTCTCCTCCCTTGGGTCTTACCTTGTTCCAAGAGAGGCTTCTCAGCACAGGCCCAGCCTCAGCACCTACGCATATTCCAGAAACTGAGAAGGAAAGGACGCGTGCATGGTGCAGCCCTGGAAGAGTCCAGCAAGAGGCCCAGTCATCCAGAGAGCAGGGGAGAGCAGGTGACTGGCTGAAGACTCAAAGGTGTTCCAGCCATGGATCATCCCCAGACCCCTCCCCAGCTGCTCAAAGGCAGGGAACTTCCTTTCCTCCCAGATGTAGGCAGGAGGTTTACTCTGCACAAACTGAGCCAGAAAGGGCCTGAACTTAGGGTGGGACAGAGAGGAGCTAGGAGGGAGAGTTTCAGAGAAAGCCTACGCATCCCACAGGGAGGCCTCCTCTCTCTTTTTCTTGCCTACTAGCCAGGGCCCTGCCCGTGCTGGGCAAATAGTCTACCACTGAACTACTGCTCCAATCTTCTACAGTTTATTTTGATTTTTTATTGTTTCCGGTACCGACAATCGAACTCAGGACCTTGTGCTTACCAGGCAGGCACTGTGCCGCTGAGCTAAATCCCCAGCCCCCTACAGTTTATTTTGATAAAGTCTCACTAAGTTGCTGGGCTGAAATCGAACCTGTGATCCTCCTACCTCAGCCTCTCGAGCAGTAGGGATTACAAGTGTGCACCACTATGCGTGACTTTTTTTTTTTTTTCTTGATTTTCACAGTAATAACACTTGCTTTTTAAAATGCAGACAAGCCGGGCATGGTGGCGCACGCCTGTAGTCCCAGCACTTGGGAAGCTGAGGTAGGAGGACTGCCACAAGTTCAAGGCCATAGTTCTGGGCTCCATAGTGAGCTCAAGACCAGCCTGAGTTACATACCAAGTCCCCGTCTCAAAAACAAAAACAAAAACATGCAAATAATTTAGAAATGTGTCAAGTAGGAGATCAAGATTTCCCAGTAGTCTCTATGTTCCCAAAGGTAGCTATTAATCTGTTTATAAGAAATTTTCTGTTTAAGTATAGTAGGTCCTGGTTCATTTCCTGTAACAAATGAAGAAAAGAAAATTATCAGACAAGACAACCTTCCCAAACCAAAGGATACAGAGTTTCCAGTCTCCACACAGCGGCACAATGAGCCACAACTGAAGACCCAGATCCTAAAAGACCAGAGCACTAGGCCTTCAGAGAACAAGGAGAAATACAAAGTAAACAATTCTCACAGAACCAGGTCACCTACAAAGGAAAAGGAAACAGTGTGAATGGCCTTCCCGGAGCAACACTGGAATGGAGGAAACGTGAAACAAGGCCTTCCAGGATCTGATGGAGAGGCCTGCAGGGAAGAGGACCAGAGGGCCATTCTTAGGTTCTAGCGTTCTAAAGACAGCAGGAGGGCAAAACCAACCATCTCCTACACACTGCGGCTCAAGGGTCTTACCTCTCAGGCACCCTTTCCTCTCCCATCTGGGGAACAACTGAAGAATGTAGTGGGAAGGGGGACACAGAGGAAGCAAGAAGACAACCTGAAGCTGGGTGGTGGCACACACCTCTAATCCTGGCACTCTGGGAGGCTGAGGCAGGAGGGTGGCAAGTTTGAGTTTAGCCTGGGCAACTGAATGACTTTATGAAAAGGTGTCTTAAAATAAAAAATAAAGAAAGGGCAGGGGATGTAGCTCAGCAAGAAGGCCCTGGGCCCAATTTCCAGAGCTGAGAAAAAACATACAACCTGAGATGCAGGCATCCTAAATGAGCAAGTGAGGTGGTGGTGGATAGACAGTGAAGGACAGGAGGAAAGGGCAGGGAGGCTCAGCAGCATCTCAACCTTAGGCAATCAGGATAGAGCAAAGCAAGGAAACGCCCTTCCCCCGCAAACCTGCCACTTGCAGATTCAGTGATGTGGTTCCGGTTCTGCCAGTGTTCAGGAAAGGCGGATTAATAATGATGAGAGAAATCTAAGCAAATCAACAATGGAGGTAATTTTAGCACCCCCCCCCAAGAGGTGTAGAAAAGAGAATTTTCCTGCACTGTGTAAACATTTTCCACTGATTTATCCAAAATGATTGTAATGGCATTGAAAGAACAAGGACAGAAAAAAATTATGTTTTTGGTGAGGCATAAAATACTCAAATCATCTCTTTTCATAACAGGAAAATAAAGTGTCTCTAAAATCGAAAACCAATGAAAGATAGCAGGAAAGATTTATCTTTTACGGTGGGAATGACCTATTTTATTATAAGCCTGGACTATTATTTCAAACAATTCATATACATTATGAATTGTGTTTATTTGGTTGAAAATTTTCCTGTTTTTTGTTTGTTTGTTTTTGGCTTTTTGTACTGGGAATCAAACTCAGGACCTTGCGCTTGCCAGGCAGGTGCTTGTGTCGCTGAGCTATATCCCTGGCATTATTTGGTTAAAAATTAAATTTAGAAACAAGGCATGGTGGCATACACCTGTAATTCCAACACGTGGGACGCTGGCAGGAGAATTGCATAGGAAATTCAAGGCCAGCCTGAACTACATAGCACGATACTGTCTCAAACAAGGAAAAACAAAAACAAAGCAAAATAAATTTAGGGCTGAGGGTGCAGATCAGTGGTACAGCACTTAACTGTATTCAAGGTCATGGGTTTCATTCCCAGGCTAAAAAAAAAAAGTGAAATTTGAAATGATTAAGATAAGTATGGCCAGGCATGGTGGTGCACGCCTGTAATCCCAGCACTTGGGAGGCTGAGGCAGGAGAATCGTTGCGAGTTCG